GGACATTTATATACATGTTTAAGCCAGAATGATTTTGACATTTAAATATGACTTCCCTACAACTTTAAGCGTTCCGATGCCGAAAGTATTTTTATAAAAAACATAATTAATGTGCAGATATAAGGAATAGTTGTATTAACTATATATGTAAACAGAGTTTTATGGCCCTAGGAAACTGCCTGGTGTTTCTGTTATGACTGAGATGTATTAATGACCTCCAGTAATGTTAAGCCTCCCAGGTAGTCCCTCTGCTGGAGATATTCCTCCAAACTGGGAACCGTTTGTTTCTTCTTCTTCTCACCGATGCTCCCCTCAGTCTCTGCTCCCACAGCCGGCTTCACGCGGGACAGGATCTGGAAAGAAAAAAAAAAGCAAAACATATCGATAAAACGGTTTTGTTTCTTTGTTTTAATGAGATTACCACATAACCTCCAACGTATCGATGCTGATACGACGAAGCCCCCAAAATGCCAACTTTATGAGTCATTAATCCCACTTTATACACGGTAGTAACGCTTGAACATTAGCAATATAAACATGTTTTCTTACCATTTCCGATGGTTTGTTTCAAAGCCGACAGAAAACACCCCTATCTGGATCCCTGGAACCTTATAAAGTTATATCATGAAATGAAATCAAACAAAATGTCCTCAATTCTACAAAAAGTAGCCTACGAAATCATTCTAAAAATGCAAGCAGTTGCAACAGATTCACTAAGGAGGGCATATTTTCGTAGCGTTAGCTCGCTAACGGTTAAGCTTCAGCAGCATTTCATGTACTTCCGGCGACTGCTTTTCAACTTAAAAGCACGGCCGCGAGAGTTTGACAATTAATAAAATTCCGTAGCGTCCAAACTTCACTGCGTGGTTTTGTTAATTAGTAAAATGAAAAATATTGAGCCCAAACTGAGGAAAGAGACAGCTTTTAAATCGCTGAGTAGCATTCCTCTTAATCGATAAATTATTTTGAAGGCTAACAGGCTACGGTTAGTCTCATTCATGTTTAGCTTAACGTTTTAGTGTAACGGTGTTTGTTGCCTAGCAACCACGTTCCGTTTTTTTAACGCGATAGTTTTGACCAGAGCCATTGAATAAGAGCGTTCTGATAGATTCATTGGCCACAATGGGCAATGTTTCAAAAAGCACGGAGTTTCAGTAGTTCGAGGGATGTTTGCTGCCCTTGCTAAAAATTATGGCAGTAGAAAATGATATTTAGGTTGCTCTTCTTGGCTTTTATCATGTAAACAAAACGTTAACATCCATACACGGAACGTCTGAGTCAAATACAACTGAAACACCCAACAGATTGGGTGCGCAGAAGTATAAGACTGTGGGGTTAAATTTAAAGATGTCTGCCAAAAATGGGGCGCCCCAGTGGCCTAATGGATAAGGCACTGGCCTCCTAAGCCAGGGATTGTGGGTTCGAGTCCCATCTGGGGTGGACTTTTTTTTTTTTTATTTAATGGGGGAAGAGGAAACATATGGAAGAGGATTAGGGCAACTAAAAAACAAGTTAACTGAATTTTAAATTTATTTTAGTATATTATTAGGAAAAAAACTGAATTTTGAGGAAAAAAAAGTCAGAATTCAGATTTTTCCCCCATATTATATTGAAACAAAATTTAAAAATCAGTTAATTCTTATCTTTTCTTTCAGTGGCCCTAATCCTCTTCCATAGAAACATGTCACCATCAACTCAAACATTTATATCGTGGGTCGGCAACCTTTCAGATCCAAATAGCCAGTCCAGCTAATAAAAAATCCTTTAGAGCAGCAAAATATTACATGATTTTTTTTTATATAAAAAATACACCTATTATTTTTCTTAAATATCTACCATTAGAAATCTGTTGCCATTTTAAATAACCAAGAATTTATTGGGATTATTTTAAGATAAGGAAAAGCATAAAAGGATTCATATAACTGAAGCGTGTTTTGATGTAAACAAAATGTGTAATAATAAAACATCCAGTTTCCAAGCCAATTAAAGGAAAAATAAACATATTTATGGTGCTTTCCAATATTTTTTTATATTAGCTCATTCTTTTCCTATAATTTCAGTCATGAAACAGGAATCAGTGTGCCTACTAAAAATATTTCAAGCTAAAAAAATTCATAAACAATGAATGAATACATTTTTTAAAATATTTTTTTAACCATATTTTTTAAAATAATATTAAATAAACATTTGACAAAAAATTTATAAATTTT